TCTATGGCATACCATCCAACCTCCTCAATAAACTCCAACATATCCAGAACTCTGCTGCCCGCCTCCTCACCCACACCCGCTCCCGAGACCACATCACTCCCATCCTCCAGAACCTCCACTGGCTCCCCGTCCGTCAAAGAATCCACTTCAAAGTCCTCCTCATAACTTACAAAGCCCTCAACAACCAGGCCCCCCCCTACCTAACAGACCTGCTGCACCACCACACCCCTTCCCGCTGCCTCCGCTCATCAGAAGCCAACCTCCTATCCATCCCCACCCGCACCAATCACCGGACCTGGGGGGACAGAGCCTTCTCCGTCGCTGCCCCCTCCCTCTGGAACTCACTCCCACAACCCATCAGAGACTGCACCGACCTCACCACCTTCAAAAAACTCACAAAAACTCACCTCTTCAATCTGGCTTTTCATGTGTGACTGTTTTTGTATTATTTGACTTTAACTTTAACTATATATTTATTTGTTGTTCCTTTCTTCTCTTTTNGCTCACGCTGAATACAAACAGCTTTGACAGCTCCTCTCAACGTCGAAAGACGTTTGCCTTCTGTCCCACAGACCCTGAATCAGATCACCCGTGGTTACATATATACACACTCACAAGTGAATGCTTCATCCTGTGTTCAATGTTGGAACTGCATGATACATTCAACTTGTGCAGATAAAGTCAAACAAACTAAATACATTATGGCTCCAACAATATCTATGCATAACATTTGATATGCAAACAGAAAGGCATGACTGAAAAGGCACCTCACAAAGTCTACAACTCCAAGTAAATTCCACCTGAGTGTTGTGAAAACTATTACTGTTTTGAACTTATTTTTTATGACTTTACTATTTTGAGATTGCTTTATGATCAGGATTCTTCTTGAAAACGATCTGATGCCAGTTTAAACTATCTGCTGATCTTTTTGTCCGTGCAGTGCCCGGAGCAGGTGGTCGGGGGTATCTACGGCGTGTTGAACAGGAAACGAGGTCACGTGTTTGAGGAATCCCAAGTCATAGGCACTCCCATGTTTATTGTGAAAGCCTTCCTGCCTGTCAACGAGTCCTTTGGTGAGTGTGTGATTTAGAACAATTCACTTTATTTAATAATTTGGTTTTAGTATGTCATTTCCTTATTCTTGGCAGAGAATAATTTTTCACAATTTAAAGGTTTGGTGTGTAATATTCCCCTGCTTAAATGACAAAAGACAACTTGACCTGATGTCATGTATGTTGTTGAATTGTGCAGTTACATTATACCGAACATTTCCAAAATGTTTCCAATCTATCGGTCGATTTCAATGGCTGTCTGATAAGGTGACGTAACCCTTTGTCTTAGTGTCAGTGCTGTTGTTGTCTTCAAAGGCTGTCATCAAATCCAGTTTTAAGTTTTAAGCCCTATTTATAAAAGAAGAAAATGAACAAGGAAGAAATCCTCACTAGGAAAGGGTGAAGGCAATGACAATTGTCCAGTCTACCTTAAAATGTCCCCTAACTGTGTCTTTTGTTGTTGTTTTTATTGAGAGGCCTGTAGCAGCAGAAAATAACAAGCTGTCCATTTAAAACTAATGACCATTTAATTACAATTACATAATTAAAGTATGCATCTGTATTCATTTCCTCCAGGATTCACAGCTGACCTGCGCAGCAACACTGGAGGCCAGGCCTTCCCTCAGTGTGTGTTTGACCACTGGCAGATTCTCCCAGGAGACCCCAGCGACCCGGCCACCAGACCCTTCCAGGTTGTTGCCGAAATTAGGAAACGCAAAGGTCTGAAAGAGAACATACCTTCCGTCGACAACTACCTGGACAAACTTTAAAACTAAGCCAAGATAATACAATACCAAATCAATCTCTTAACCCTACCCCATGGGCACTTTAAAATCTTTGCACAGGCTTAAAAGATAAATTGCACAATTGTATTGACTTTGGACCGGAAGCTTTAAGCTTTTGTTGTAGGCAAGTGGAAGCAGCGATGCTTTTTCATTTCACAGCTACAGTACACCAAGTGCCTAGGGCGTGGGTTTTGTGGAACAATTGGATCAAAGCAGTTGTATTACTTGTTCTTTTATTTCTCCACATGGGTCCTCTCCCGCCCCCCCCCCTGTATAGTGCACCGTGATACTGCTGCAATAATGCATATTTAAAAGGATCATGGCCAGATAAAACCATGGAAACCATAATAATATGTTACAGAAGTCTAACTTCCTGGATTGGACCTCTGTGTGGATGTGATTAATAAAAACATCCAACTCATGATGGAAATGTGACACCTGTTATTTCTCCAAGGGGCTTTAGTTAATAGTTTGCCATTTTGCGAAATACACTTTTTCAATTTGGGGCAGGGATTTAGTTAACCGAATCCATACTAAATGTGTATCTAGTATACAACCACAATTCAGTTAATTAGCTTAGCTTAGCACAAAGACTGAACATGGAGAAACCATTTCTTCTTATTTCGTGAAACAGCAGTGAATCAATATCAAAATCCATCGCCCGGCTTATCTGGAGACCCTATGTACACAATATAATTAGTTTGTGTACAAATGCTAAAGTGTAAAAACCACAACTAGCTGCTATACGGGTTATGGCTGAGAGCCGTAGTTAAGAAATCAAATAGTCCTGAACAATATGTACCGTTTAGGTGTCGGTATATCATCAGTCTTTTATTATCATTCAATCTTCCACTAAACTTCAATCTTTATTTAATAATATTTTATTGTAGGTTGATTATTATAATATTAATTATTGCTATATTTTTCCTTCTATGCCCTCTGTACTGTGAACTCTAGACACTAGATTTGTCTCCCTAGAATGAGCTGTTAAAAAGATGTTAGTACTGCATGTTAGCTTAAAAGTTTTGGATGCTTTTCACTGATAGAGTGACTGCCATAAGGATAAAAAAAAAAATCACGTTTTATTACCCCCCGCCCCCCAAAAAAAGCAAGGGGACAACCAACTACAATAGGGATGATTTACCCTTTGGCCAGTTACTCAGCTTAGTTTTTATGCTAAGCTAAAGTAACTGGCTAATGGGTCAAGCATAGCCTCATATTTGGAAGACAAATATTTCTCCAAGAAAGCCAACAAGCATGTTCCCTAAAATGTTGAGTTGTTGCTATTGTTCAAGTGTTACTTAGATGGGGTATTTTCTAAAAATACAAGCACCACAACATATTTTCTTCACTCTTTAATCAATATTTTTTTCAAGTTACATATATAATGTTAATAAATGCCACTTTAATATACAACCCTTTTACTTCCGCACCAAAAAGGAAAGCTCTCCGCCCACACTTTTTAAAACAAAGCTAAAAAGAAACATGTCTGAAGAGTTAGTGTGCATTTACAGAACAACCACATAAACATATGCAAGGCCGAGAAGTGCAAGGTATCTTGGGTATAGGCAACTACCAAGCAAGGACACAAGATATCACAGATTGTACTGTATGTAGAAACCCAAAAATAGCTTACCATATCATGTTGTTAAGATTAATAAGAAGTTTGTTTCAAAGAGTTCGTAAGCCTATGATGCCTATGGAAATTACAGCTGAATTGAGTGAAATGCTGGTCTGTACTAAAGGGTGATGAAGATCTTGTCTTGGCATATCTGATGAACTGTACATTAATACAGTTTCGACTCCCCGCACTAATGCTCGGGAGTACAGGAAGGGGAATTCAGTGTCAAGCCTTATGCCGTCAATCCACAGCAGTGACATCGATACTGTGAATAATCTGAGAGGCTCCTCCCTCCCTCCCTCTCTCTCTCCCTCCATGGTGGAGTTGGTTACAGTCATGTCTGTTTCAGAGGCTGGCATCACTACAACACAAAGGGATAAAAGGAAGCCGCGGAGAAAGAGAGAGGCAGCGTCTCAAATGACAAGCTACGCCCCATGTAGTGACCTACATTGCTTCACGGATATTTGTCTTCCCATGTGGCCAACAGCAGTGCACTATATGGGGGGAACAGTATGATGTCTGAGTCCCAGGAACGGCTGCTGAGGTGTGGCCCCGCGCTGGTGTCAGGTTGTCACATTTGATGGAGGATCACTGCTTGTGTCAGAGGTGACTATGTGTAGAAGATGACCTCGGGAATCTGTCCGTCCTCTACTGAAGTGCCGTTGTTGTTGCCCGCCGCGTAACAGAAGGTGAAACACGTCTTTGTGCCAGTGGAGGACGACTCGTGCGTTACCTTTCTCATCCCCTTTGTCCCGTAGTGAGAGTCTGGGCCCTGAAAAACACACAGAGAGGTTGAATACACTGATGATGCCAACGCTGCACAGTGATATATAACATATATAGACATTTCCACAAGTGAGAAGGAACCACAGCTAACATGCTAAGTTGATTAATTCATTATTAGATCAACAAGGTCTGTACTGAATGTCTTATTTGCAATTGGTTTTCAAATTAAGCTTAAAAAGTCTGTTTTAATTTTTTGTGATATCGTCACTTTAAAAAACGCACAAGGTTTGAAATAAGTGAATCATCTGATTAAATTAGTTGAATCAACTTTCTTTCATGAATATAACTTGTTAGTTTGTAAACTAAACTTCATTTAAAACAGACTGAACACGGACAAAAAAATAATTATGCAACATTTAAATGTTGATGTAAAATGTAATGTCAACGTAGTGAATGAAGATTACAATTTCAGTACAGCCTTACAATCAACAGATTTTCTTATATACTGCTTTATTATTCTTGTCAAGTTTCTTAACTTTTGTCAGATTTGTAGGTTTTCTTGTCTTCTTGGAGAGTAAACTGAGTACATTTTGATTTCTACACTGCAAAAAAATCGATGGACGTGCAATGGCTCATTGTTTGACATGTTTTAGACCAAACAATGAAGGAAAATAATCCTTTGATCAAAAAGACACATTTTCCTTGTATTGGGAGCACAGTGCTGTATGTGTATCTGCTATCATCACATACCTTGAGTGTGGCACAGGCAGTGTAGTTGACGTTGGGTAGGATCTCCACCGGTTCTTTGAACATGACTCTGAAGGTGTTGGCCGACCCGTCACAGCTGAAGCCTGTATCGTTCTGACCCAGCACCGTGTTGCTGTCTGTGTGTATGATCTGCAATAAGACACACTAACATTCAGAATATGTTATGCTCTACACAAACTGGACTCAAACTTTCTGAAAGGTTCGGGTTCACACCTGTATGTTAACTTGGTAGTCTGTGGGTCCGTGTATAGAGCCATAGAGACCAAACCCGACCACAAATATCCTTCTGTTTACCGAAAACCTGAGGAAAAAAAAAACACAACAGATATGTATTAAGAGTCTGGCGGGTATGATAACTGTGGAGAAGTATTTGCAATATGTGGTGTTATTATTTCCGCCAGGCATATCGGTATCTAAGCAAATTGAGTAATATTAAAATCTTCTTTGTGTGTGAGGAGCGGAAGAAGCACCTAGCAAAGACTTTTACTCCACTGAGGGAATTCTTTCTACGACTAATTGTGCTTTGTGGCCACAAAACAGATCCCACTCACCGTATGCGGTCACTTGTCCCGCTGTAACCCCAGCGGCTTTCCACCTGTCCAAAACGTGTGATGCTACACTCCTTCCCGCGGAGGCAGCAGCGAGGCCGGTCGATGAATTCAACGCGGGGCTTTGGGTTAACTGTAAAGTGGAGGAAAAGACTCACCACCTCTCTATCACTCAGAATACTGGACTGGGCTGGACCTGAAGGGACGATAGAAAGCACAGTGTGTGTTCAGGCAAAGAGAATAATCTACAAAAAATGTTTCACTGTTGGATTCCTTGTGATTCTGTTTACCTGCAGCAAATTCCTCAATAGTCATGAGAGGGAAGCGGATTAGTGTGAGAGCCTTGCCCAGCACTTTGCGTTTGTTCTCGGGCGTGGGCTGCATCTGCTGCCTGTGAGCCTCGGCATCTGCCCAGCGCACAGAAGCACCGAATAAACGCACTTCCCGCACCCCGAGAGTGTCCCTCTCCAACACGGCCACCAACGTATCTGAGGCAGGGAGAGATGAAGACGGGACGGTCAGTGAGGCTGGTACTGTTAAATACAGAGACTGAGAGAGACTAATGACAATCACAAGGCCACATTACCCAGATCTATGTCTGTGAAGCCTTCAGCGGCGAGAGCATCTCCAGTGTTCTTATCGATGTTCTCCAGACAGAGGCTGGCGAGCTGAGGCTCGTCAAACAAGCGTGCCTGAAACAAAGAATGGATCACTTTGTTTCACTACAAGGCTCAGTCAAAAGCTCAGAATTGAACATTTGCAGATCTGGATTAAGATCTAATAGTAGGAACTCTCATGATTTTTGAGTCCTAAAAATAGACAAATGCCAAAAACTGGCATCAAATAAGAAAATAACAGAATATTTTCTACTTATTCTTTGATTGACATTTTCTGTATTGTTATTTTGCCGATTTTTGAGACTCATTTGGTGTTTTTAAAGCTGCATGGATTTCAACAACAAGTTATATTTAAGAACGTTGTTTTTTCTTTAAAAAAAATATTATAATGTTAAGATTTCTCAAAGTAGAGTATTGTTGTGGTATGGATACCGTAACTAACTCAGCACCAGTATCAAAGAAAATATCCTTTAAATGTAGGGGTTTAAATTTCAGCTCTGTTGCACATGATACTGACAGTTTCAGCACACAACATCTAGGGCAGCTAAACTAGGAGATGAAATAAGATCTGATCACTAAAAGACACAAGATATATCACTTTTACAAAAATAAAAATAATTGAAGCTCTGGGGAGGCAGACCTGTGTGAGCAGCATGAACGCATTGTCTGCTCTCAAGTTCTTCTTGAGGAACTCCACACAGTGAGCCTCCAGGGCGGGCACTGCATATTTCTTAGCTGTATATAGTGTGGTCATCACTGTCTCAGGCCCGATCTGGACTTCATCAGAGTAGAGAAACCTGCACAAGACATTCTGAGGTTATAATCATATAATGAATGCATTAGTGAGGTATTTAATGTTGCATTGTCTAAACATTATTATACCCGCTAACTAATTGCATAATGACACAATTATACACGCCCACTTTCAGGACAGTTTAAATGGCAGCCCTCTTACTTTAGCAGGGCCAGGAAGGCAGCTGGTTCCACATCAGGAAGCTCTATTTCCGTCGAAGTTGTCGCCATGCCTCCGTTGAACATGGCATCAAACACTGCGCTCCCCACAGCCAAAACAAACCTGACCATATCAACAAAACACAGGTTACGTTTTTTGCTTTGCATCGTCATAGTTAGCTATCAAACGTTTTGAATACTCATGCAGCTGATCTTACCTGTGCGCAGGTATCCTCTGAACCCCCATCCCTTTGCCCACTAAAAAATGAACGTCACTGAGCACTTCGTTGTTGAAAAGGAAAGCGAATCGCTCCTTGACGGTGCTCTTGGTCGCCTGCCAGTTGTACACCGGCTCTCGGTACACCAGCACAGACGCAGCAGCCGGGGTGGCAGCCGCTGCTGCCGAAGCGGCTGCGTTTGACGCCGCGGTTGCCATGTTGGTGGCCGGGGTGGACATGGCTCCTGCAGCACCTGCCGCAGCGGACTGCTGCAGGGAGTTCTGCGCAGTCGGTTGAGCTCCGATCGACACTCCGTTGCTGTCCCCGCCGCCAGGCCCCATCTGCGGGTTGGGTCGCCTCGTCGCGCCCTGTGCTCCCCCGGCCGCACCGCCAGCTCCGCCGTTAGACGCCGGCATGGAGAACACGCTATTGCTTGGCTGGCTGTTTCCCAAAGGACCAGGACCGGAGAAAGTAAGGCAAGGAGGCCTGCCGCTGTTGTCTCCAGCAGCCATCTTGAACGGAGTGTAGGCGTAAACAACGCACTTCGTCGCTTTTTGTATTTCTAGTAGTCTCGTCAGTCTTTGTTTCCCTTAGCTGACGCCTGGCGTTTGTTGTTGGTACTACACGGTGCTCTATGCTCTCCACCTGTACAGTATATGAGGTCCATCTGCCTCACACACCAGTATTTCATCCTTAGCGAACACACCTGTTTGTTTTCTCTTAACTAAAATCTAGTGCGTTCATCAAACCAAAACATACATTGTAAAGAAATAAAATACCAGGCATGTGCATTGTCCCTTTTTGAAGCAACAATATATATATATTTTTCATCAGGGTTGTTGCTGGCACTATGACTAATATCATGTTTTCTTAATTTTTCCTGAGAATGTAAGAGTTAGAGCGAGGTGGGGGGAGTCTGATATCTATATTTGAAAACTAGTTGGGTCACTTTTATTTTACATTATATTTTTAGGCTATATATACACTCGAATTAGGACCAAAACCACTATAATAATAATAATAATAGATTTAATTTGTTAGCGCTTTTACAGGTGCTCAAAGACGCTTTACAGATAATAGTGAAGAAAGAAAGAAAAGAGAAGAAAGGAACAACAAATAAATATATAGTTAAAGTTAAAGTCAAANGGGTGCACATAGCTTTTTGAGTGAGTTACTCAGATGAGTACCAGGAGACAGCGATTGGTACTCACCCCACAAGAAGCGTGGTCCTCCTCAGTGTCTCCTTCACTAAGGAGACACTGAGGAGGACCACGCTTCTTGTGGGGTGAGTACCAATCGCTGTCTCCTGGTACTCATCTGAGTAACTCACTCAAAAAGCTATGTGCACCCCTGCTAATAGTACACAATCCTTGGTAGGGAATACTCTTAAACTTTACAAACAGATAAGTCTACAGACCCGGCGGCAGACATACGTCTCTGGGCGGGCATTTGATTTACCAGGGCGGGCCCACCCCGAAACTTACATTTCCCGGGAAATCTGAATTGTCAACGGGGGGAGGGGGGCTCGTGAATTGTTGTTACGGAAACAGAGGGGTTTTAGGTTGCCATAAGGCTGTTGACGGTCTTATTATAGGCTACATCCATTGGTTGGTTTTGTGGCACATTTGTAACATTGTGCCAACTTGGGCAAGCACGCAGGCAAACTTGAGGAGCGCACACAGGGTGGAGTGAGGTTGAGCGATGGAGAGAAAGGGGAGAGAGAGAGAGAGATTGAGAGAGGCAGATAGCGTGTGCAGCGGTCTGCTTGCGCACAGAGCCGGAGTTTGTGAGAGAGCCGGCTTGAGTCAATTTCTCTTCAAAATATAATTGATTGCCAGCCTCCCTTGTCCCTGGCTGGCTTGCTAGCTCGTTGGTCCTGTCCTGATTACTTTTGTCTGCACATTTCTGCAATTTGAATTACAACAACAACAAGGCCAAAACTGCTCTAACAGGATTTAAATCCTCATCAGTTACTCAAACAGTGTTACCTGCTCACCTGTGTGCCATTGGCTTGTATAAAGCTTTAGTATGGAATTAGCTAGGTTCAGTAGAAACCCGTAGATGAGGAATATATTTCCAGAGTTCTACATCCATAAAATAAATAGCAGCCATTACTCAAATATCTCTGTCCCATCCATTTTTCCCCTCCCAGGCCTTAGGTATGGATGTCCAGATGGTGCCAGGTAAAGGTCCAACATTCCCAGACCCTCTGAAGGAGCCAGAGGACCTGCAGCGTCTGCAACCTAAAGTGGACGTGGAGAAGGAACTGGGTTATGTCTTCAAAGCCATCACACTGACCAGACACAAGATTGATGGCAAAGTGCCGCTCATTGGGTTCACCGGAGCGCCGGTTAGTGATCATACAGACAAGTTAAAAGCCGGCATAGGTATTTCTGGATGTAAACATGAAAATTACATCAAAAGTATTGTGGTTCTTACTCTCTCTGTGTGGTGTGCCTACACAGTGGACGCTGATGTCCTACATGATAGAAGGCGGAGGCTCCAACACCCACTCGAAGGCGAAGCGCTGGCTCTACCGACACCCTCAGGCCAGCCACATGCTGCTGAAGATGCTGACTGATGTGATAGTGGAGTATCTGCTGGGGCAGGTGGCGGCTGGAGCGCAGGTTAGACCTCCTACCTCTTTATCTCTGGAGCCGTGTTTACAATATGTGCCACTGCCATTACGCATAACTATTTAGGGTGGTAACAAAAGGACGCAAACAGATTGTCTTTGTACTTCGTCCCACAAAATCTGTAAATCTAGATTATTTTAAAACAATACTTCTGTCGTCTGCTGTTTGTTGTGCAGGCTCTGCAGGTGTTCGAGTCTCACGCCGGCATTTTGGGGCCCGTGGAGTTTAATGAGTTCTCTCTGCCTTACCTTCGAGACATTGCTCGCCGCGTCAAAGAGAAACTCAAGGAGACAGCGAAAGACATTCCCATGGTAAGCTGCAAACATTAGCATTCAAATATATCAATATGCCCAAATCCACACCCACACAGAGTAAGACTCCTGCTGTAATAATATCTCATACATCTGCATGTATTCCTCTGGACAGTGTCAGTAGATAATGATAATGATAAACGCTATAACTGTGACAACTCTATTCTTATATTTATTTTCCTGCTGTATTATTTAGTCTGTTCTCTTTTCATAATAGCTTTCTATATTAGTTGCAATACTCTGTTCTATCCTTACCATAAGTCTGTTGCTTCAACAACACTGTTTCCCAGGAGGCATCATTAACGATTCATCTGCTCTGTAATAAGTGAAATGTCCTGTTCATTACCAGAAGATGGCAGCATTTCACCAAAAATGGAGAATAACGAGTCCTGAAAAAAGTTGTTAGTTGATAATCTCCTCTTTTCAGATTGTGTTTGCAAAGGATGCTCATTACGGTTTGGAGGATCTGTCTCAATCTCATTATGAAGTGGTCGGGCTGGACTGGACCGTTGACCCAAAAGCAGCACGGTATATACACACACACACACACACACATACACATACACATACACATACACACACACGCGCACACACACACACACACACACACATACACATACACATACACACACACACGCGCACACACACACACACAC